GACAACAGCCTTTTAAGTAGCCTTTAATCAAGTAAAAGTGAACAATATTAATTTTAAGTAGGCTTATTGCAATGCTTAATAATAGTTGACAAATGTTTATAATACATTATAAGTTGGTACATTATAAATGTAATTTTCCCCCAAAAATATTAAAATTATAAATATATAACTATTAAAATATACTGCAGTAGGCCTAAGTGTTTAAAAAGTACTTTAAACATACTAAAAGCTTAACCATTTTGCTATGTTCTTACACAAAGAGCAACATAAGTATGTTTTCTTTAAATACAATAAAACTTCACAAAAATTGTATGATTATGTTTAGCATATTTCTTAAAAGTATAATTAAGCATATATGTATTAGTGCATTTGTTAGAAATATATTAAAATTATGCTTGTTTAGCATATTTCTTAAAAGTATAATTAAGCATATATTTATTACCAATGTACTTATAGTGCATTTGTTAGAAATATATTAAAATTATGCTTGTGTTTAGCATATTTCTTAAAAGTGTAATTAAGCATATATTTATTACCAATGCACTTCTAGTATACTTGTTAGAAATATATTAAAATGCAAAAAAATTGCACTAAAAATACATTTAAAATATCAATGGTATTTAATATACTTTCGCAATTACACTTAAGTACTACTTAAGTAAAAATATACTTTTAATTAGTGTATTTATAGTGCATAATTTTTACAGTTTTCTTTAGCACAAAAAGTGAGAATGTACTACAAATATACTTTCTTGTATTTAAGTGTTTTTTTAGTGCACTCAAGTACACTTTTTTTTCACCTGGGAAGAGCGTTACAATAGTCTATACGTGAAGTGACCAGTGCGTGAATAAGAACTGCAGTATTATTATTTGAAAGAAAGGGATGGAGACGGTTAATATTACGCAAGTGGAAGTATGCAATCCGCGTGATATTATTAATTACTATCTGGACGCAATCAACGTATTCAATTAAAAGGTTTTCGAAAATATAAACCAAGACAGAGCAGTGCCAGAAATACCAATAGAAGCTAATCTGTCAAGAAGTATCTTATGTGAGACAGTATCAAAGGCAGCGCATAAGTCAAGAAGGACTAGTATGGATAAAAGCCCAGAGTCAGCTGCCAACAGTAGATCACTGGTTATTCTGACAAGAGCAGTCTCAGTGCTATGGTGGGGACGAAAGCCAGATTGAAATTGTTCATGTCATGAAGATGTCAGTTTAACATACATTCTAAATCATTACATCTTAAAGACATCTTCTATACGTCTATTTGACATCTGACAGGAAACGTCCTATAGACGTATTGCAGATGAGCAAACACTCTAAAAAATATGTCTTCCAGATATAAACACACATCAAATAGACGTCTCTGTGATGTACGTGTGCTATCAGGGTAGGTTATTTGCGGTAGGTAGAAAATGCATGATTTGATTTGTTAAACATGAAAAGGACTTATCCGTCTGGCATGGCCACTCGCTCTTACATTAACCTAGATAATTGTTCGCTGTTATTAGGCTCATATCCAAGTGTTTGTGCGGAGTGTGAAGCGCGCACTGCATGACATGGAGGCGCCGGCGCGATTACTTGCATTTTCCTATTAACAGTGGAAACAACTTAAAATACTCCATCATTTCTGGCCATACAGAAAAGAATAATGCATCAGTCACAACTACTTTTATTTGTGTAAACTCACAATAACAAGAAAACGTTGTGCTTTTGTAAAATAAAATAAAACAATCTGGGCGCGTCAAATCAGCTACTCTCACTGGTGTAAAGTAGGCTTGTTGACAAGTTCTATGAATATGCAAATTAGCTCCTCCCCCACTCATCCGCACCAGCTCAGAGATCCACTCGTTAATGATCACAACTTGATGTGATTGGCTTCAATGTAGTGATTTCAAACCGCTTTTTAAAAACTGTCTTTGGTTCACTGCAAAATACTCAGCAATGGTGTTGACTTATGAATTTGCACATGGTTTGTCTTAAAGCATAAAAACACTACATAAACAACATTAGCTTGATTTTTTTTTCACCACAGGGGGACTTTAAGTAGGCTACAGTAACTAATTACATTTACTCAAATACTTTACACCACTGCACTAAAACACATGTTTGTCTTGTACTTTCCAGTTTCCATGGATCATTGTAATAACATGTAATAACTTTATGTAAATAATCACATCATGTAGCCTATTACAAGGATGTAACAGTCAGGTTAACCAGTTAGAAATTAGTTGCAACTTGAAGTGACAATTTGAAGCATTTACTTCACAAAGACCAATAAACAGGCAGAAAAATCAACATTTCAACACACCAACATAAAAATAAATACATTTTAAAGAACAAGGAACATTACAAAGTGAAACACATTGAAGGGGAGGGTTAATTTACAAATAATAAACATACGAATATATATATATATATACCTATATATATATATATATATATACACTCACCGGCCACTTTATTAGGTACCCCATGCTAGTAACGGGTTGGACCCCCTTTTGCCTTCAGAACTGCCTCAATTCTTCGTGGCATAGATTCAACAAGGTGCTGGAAGCATTCCTCAGGGAGTTTGGTCCATATTGACATGATGGCATCACACAGTTGCCACAGATTTGTCGGCTGCACATCCATGATGCGAATCTCCCGTTCCACCACATCCCAAAGATGCTCTATTGGGTTGAGATCTGGTGACTGTGGAGGCCATTTTAGTACAGTAAACTCATTGTCATGTTCAAGAAACCAATTTGAAATGATTAGAGCTTTGTGACATGGTGGAAGTAGCCATCAGAGGATGGGTACATGGTGGCCATAAAGGGATGGACATGGTCAGAAACAATGCTCAGGTAGGCCGTGGCATTTAAACGATGCCCAATTGGCACTAAGGGGCCTAAAGTGTGCCAGGAAAACATCCCCCACACCATTACACCACCACCACCAGCCTGCACAGTGGTAACAAGGCATGATGGTTCCATGTTCTCATTCTGTTTATGCCAAATTCTGACTCTAATATCTGAATGTCTCAACAGAAATCGAGACTCATCAGACCAGGCAACATTTTTCCAGTCTTCAACTGTTCAATTTTGGTGAGCTCTTGCAAATTGTAGCCTCTTTTTCCTATTTGTAGTGGAGATGAGTGGTACCCGGTGGAGTCTTCTGCTGTTGTAGCCCATCCGCCTCAAGGTTGTGCGTGTTGTGGCTTCACAAATGCTTTGCTGCATACCTCGGTTGTAACGAGTGGTTATTTCAGTCACTGTTGCCCTTCTATCAGCTCGAACCAGTCTGGCCATTCTCCTCTGACCTCTGGCATCAACAAGGCATTTCCGCCCACAGAACTGCCGCTCACTGGATGTTTTTTCTTTTTCGGACCATTCTCTGTAAACCCTAGAGATGGTTGTGCGTGAAAATCCCAGTAGATTAGCAGTTTCTGAAATACTCAGACCAGCCCTTCTGGCACCAACAATCATGCCACGTTCAAAGTCACTCAAATCAACTTTCTTCCCCATACTGATGCTTGGTTTGAACTGCAGGAGATTGTCTTGACCATGTCTACATGCCTAAATGCACTGAGTTGCCGCCATGTGATTGGCTGCTTAGAAATTAAGTGTTAACGAGCAGTTGGACAGGTGTACCTAATAAAGTGGCCGGTGAGTGTATATAGGCTATATATTATTCTTTTAAGGTAATGGTAATGAGGTATATATAAAAAAAAATACACATACGTGCACATAAGAGCCCAGACAAACATGTATACACCATCCCAATACACAATATCAAAAGACCAATATTGTAATAAGACCAATATTGCTCTGTATTGTGGGAACACACATCACATTAACTTAAAAACTGCAATTTTTAGCTATAAAGCCTTTTTCTCAAATATAAATCAGTTAGAGGTCTGAACAAATTTATTCCAAATAAGTGAAAACTGACAGCATGTTGTGTTGTCTTCTGGCCTGTTTAAATTAGTTAAGGAGTTAAGTGTGTAGCAAATGCTGTTCTAGCTGGGATTCATTTACAATCCTGCATTCCTGCCAGGCTGTAAATTATTCCTGTTCAACACACTCTTAGGCAGTGCATAACATAGACAGGTGTGTAGTTAGCAGAGAAAAACGGCTTTATATTGTGATAAAAGCTTAGATTCTATACATAATTAGATCTTTAAATTCAGTCTGCTACTTGTATGTCCTTTGCCAAATAGCACTCATTTTTGGCCTTATTTGCCATATTTTATAAATCTCTTCTGCGTACTGCAGGGTGTTTAAACTGACACAATGATACATGATTTAATAGGTGTGTGATGTTTTTCCTCTGCCTGCAGCTAATCTCTGGAACTCACAGGGATAGTCAGGATCGGTCAGTGTGGGTTCACTGACATAAGACAAAAACAACGTCTCAGATCTCACACAGGCCAGTGACCTCTGCATGAATCAGAACTGAGGACAGCGAGCGAGGATGGTTGCAACACTTTTTCATCTATTGCTCGTAACTTGTTTCATATTAACCACACTGGCATACAGTCGGGGCAAGTTGTCACATATGAACTAGGGCAAATTACTTGTGTTGGAATTAAGTAAAAATATGGTAAAAATCTTTTCCATTGGCCAACACAATGGAGACTTCGATATAGGCTATACCTCTTTTTTTCTTTTTTTTTCTTTTTTGCTGTCTCATGAATTGTGTTAGCTTTATTATTATTTTACGGTTAAATATGCCAGAAAAGCCTGATTAATAGTGGCAGATTCCATTGTCACAAAAAAAAAAAATCTTCCTTGAGAAATAGGCTATTCACTGTAGGAAGGTGTGACAACTATCCCGCAAGTAATCTATTCTGCATGTCTGTGGAAGTTTCAAAGAAACCATAAAGTCAAATAGAAGGTCTTGCCCCAAATTTTAATATCACGTAACACATACCAGGTTAGACGATGTTCAGTTGAACTTCAGGTTCTAATTTTACGACTTTGAATTCCCCGGAGTGCGCGGGCACGTGTATAAAAGCTCGAGCAGTCGCGGTGGCGCGCACAGTCCGGATTTATACCAGTGAGTGAGATCGAGTGGATTATAAACATTAACGAATAAAGATGACAAACTCACAGGAAACGACCCTTCGCGACGCCGCTCCTCCACATACTGCTGTGGGTAAGTGTGGGATTTCAAATATATAATAAATTGTGCGGGAGAAAAAAAAATTAGAGAGTATTTTTTATTTAGGCTGAAATATTATTATATGAAAGAATGGTCTGCGTTAACTTGCACAACTCATTTTTATACGCAAATAAAAAAATCCCTCAGTATTTTATCATTTATTGTAAAGTTTAATAGATAATATCATGCAGTCTTACATTTGATAATCTTTATTTGATTGGCTTCAGCTCAAGTAAGTGAGACCTCAGGTAAAGTGGAACGAATTATTTTCACGATTGACTGTCCTTAAAATCATTAGACAATCAAATGTAGGCTACCTGTCATTAATAATTGTCTCAATGGTCTTTGCCTTTCTGAAAATGTTATCATTTGTCTGAAATAATCTTATTGGATATGATTATACACAAGCATCTAACAAGGGTGTATTTAATAAATTAGATAAAGTGAGACCTAATTTAAAGAAATGTTTTTGTTGTGCTTCAATTATATAAAGCATTTGGTATAATTTTGACATAGCCTACTATAAACTATACTGACATGTGATGACATACTACATTGACATTTAGGATGATTGTAAAATCACCAAATGCTCAAAGGTTAAGATTGAAATGCTAGCAATTCAAAATGCGTGTCATAGATCTCATAATTCCTACTGAAATCCTTTGAATCGTTTAATATTTTCAAAACAGTTTTATAGTGGTAGCACTGAGAGATAATTTAGCTACCAAATATAGTTGGCAGTTGGCAATATGTAAATATAATATATATAAAGAATTTCCCCTGTGCATGCATGGGCAGAGAATGATGTATTATTCCAACTTAGTTTGTCAGTCAAGAGAGAAAAGTTGTATTTTAGCTCATTTAAACTGTGTTTATGTTGTTGATTTGCAATCATTCGTAAGATAGGCTAACTTCTTCATTATTTTTCATTTAACTGTATTTCTCACTGTCTCTCTGGTAGATGCAGTGAGGATGAGGAGGAGAAAGGCTCAGTGGCTGGTTTCAGGCATGTTAAGTCTGTCTTTGCTCATTGTTGTGATGGGTATCTACATCAGCACACGCACTGAGAGTGTCAGCATCGCAGGATACATGTCCGGGATTATCGTAAGTATCAATCACATTTTGAATCATATTGGGTGTAAATGCAATAAAAAGAAAATATATTTAAATGTTTATAAAACAATGTTTGTTTGTTTTTTTGGTTTGAATTTGTTTTCTTTATCTTCTATTTCTATTCTGACTAACTATAAGACCTCTTGACATCCTTGAATATTTTTGTACATACCCTGGGGTACTAGAGTTTATTCTGGTCTCAATGAAGATTCCATTCCAAATTCCAGCCATATGAAAATGTACTTATATGTCTCATTCAGTTAAACCATAATCTGATAAGAAAGTAGACATTTCAAAAGGGTCGTCTGTCAAGAAAAACACACATTTTGGTTGGAGAAGTCATTCCCGCAACAACCCAAGCCAAATTCACTGCTCTGACTCTATTTGACTAATAGAAGTTGCCAAAAAAGACAAAGACCAACCAAACCTTCCAAGACAAATTTTCATGAGAAAATCGCACACTACTATGACGCAGGAGTATCACAGTTTTATCTGAAATACAATTTATAAATTAAGTTTTGGATAAAATCATTTTGGATCTCACCAGCCCTTTCAAAATGCTTAGCCTGTGCTGAAAGATGATATAATTATGGTAATTTAGGAGAAAATGATGTTTTCCAGTAAATGCTATAAATCAAACAAATAGCATTTAATTGTTTTTTTTGGAGAATAGCAAACATGCATGTAATGTAGGTTTGTGTAATTTTCTTGGGCTTTGACATAGGCCCACACACTGATTCTCTTAATTTACAGAATTTACGGAAAAGAACCTTTTAATTTCCCATTTCATTAATATGAAAATTATCATTTTGTCACATACTCAGCACGTTAGTGAAATTTCTGTGAAATTTTGTGGGTAAAAAAGGTTCATTGTCTTTTGTCAATACTGTAGCAATGTATGATACACTGCTCACACAGAAGTCACTTTCAAACCAAGCAGCTTTCTGCTGGTGGTCAGGGTAGTGAATCCATGTTACTAACTTGAACCCATTGCGAAATCTGCATGGGAAAAAATTGCCAAACAACGAACATTGAAAATATTTTTCTTCTTACTTATCATGGAAAAGATCAACTTCATCTCCACACCAATCAATCCACTTGCGGGTGCGGGACATCAGAAACAGAGAGATCCATGTGCAGTTTTTTAGTGATTTATTAATAGTGCAAAGCAGATAAAGCAAGGGAGCAGCAGGCCAGAATCTCGTGTATCATTGAGCAGGCAAGGGTCGATGCAGGCAGCGAGCAGGCGAGGTCTGGGTATACTGGCAAAGGGTCGAGACAGGCTGCGGGCAGATCGGAATCAGAAATCCAGGCAAAGGTCTAAGTGGGCTGGCAGCAAACTGGAGGAGTCAAAGAACAGAAACAGGGTCAAACCAGAGAGACAAATTATAGGAGATGAGCGCTCAGAAATGATCACAAAGGTAATGCAAAACTTCGCAGGGAATGAAGTGAGAGAGAGGACTATAAAGTCCAGAAGATGGGGAACAGCTGTGGAAGGTGATTAGCGTCAGACCCGCTGAGAGAGATGAATGTAATGAACGGGATTAATATTCAGGTGAGGGTGCCCTCTGGTGACGAGAGAGGGAGCTTCCAGAGTCTGGGATTGTGACACCACTGGAGTTCCACAGGGCTCAGTACTCTGACCTGTTTTATTATCTTACACTTAGCAACATCATCATCTCTTTCTACTATCATTCTTATGTAAATGACACTCAGGCCCATCATTTAAAGCTGAATTTACCAAAACCCTATGTTATTGTTCATTCCATCAAGAACCAACATAATTAAGACTTTATCATTTCAATCAGAATCAGGTTGAAAACAGGTTCCTATAGCATACAGGGCAGTCAATGTTCAAGCCCCATCCAAGATCTGTAGTCCTATTATGACACCTAGGACTATAGCTAGGGTTGCCAACTGCCACATATAATACATGATCAACTTGTATATAAATATGAAATGCTATGTCTTTTTTTAAAATAAACTTTTCTTGGGCCATTTGTACAGTATTTTTCCATGTACCCCTCAATTCACTAACAAATACCTGTTGGACAGGTCCCACAGAGATTGTCCATGAATTGATATACAAATATATATTATACTTTTGGATCCTTTTTATCTAACTATAAATTATTCAGAATGTCTCCTTTGTGGCATATGGGTTTAGAAAAACATGAAAATAAGGACAGAATTTCTCCCCATTTTTGTGAACTAATCCTTGAAGTGTCGGCCCTTATAATACCTGAATTTGTATTTCCCTAATTAATAAATTGCATTAGTGACTTCATCTGTGAGCTCAAGGCTGTTCAGACATTATAAACAAGAGGCTTCTTGTTGATACAATGTCAAATATTATCAATGGGTTCACAGCAGGAAAAATAAGATAATAAAGTCAGTCTGACAGTGAGAAGTAAACCGCATACTGTGTTGCCAAAACATCTCTTTTCCATCTGTGAACTTGGCTGGTCTGTGAAACTCCAGCAGATACCCTACTGGAGACCTGGGTTATGAGTATAGCTAAAGTATGTCAGCTTTCATAAGCTGACGGTCATGAAGTTTTGCATGCAAAGTGATTGGATCTTCCAGTTAGCTATTAGCAAGATGTTGAGGAAAGGTTATATGTTCCATAACAGGATGTAATCTCATGAACGCTGAAATATTTATGTATTTCAGACTTTCCCTCATATTTTCTTGTCATATAAGCTTGATAAACCCATAGAATGAATGTCATAAATCATTTAGCTTGAAATGAATTGAAACCATGATAATGATTCCCAGTGCTCGTATGGTCATGCTAATGTTCTCCAGATAATTTTGCATCATTTGTTTCTCTTTTTACATTTATGTCTGTCTGCTGATTACAGTTGGCGTTTGGATCCTTCTTGGGAGTTCTTGGACTATGCCTGGAGGAAAACCGCAAACAGCTGGTAGATATCCCATGTAACGTTTTCAGTCTTCCATCATCAGCTTGGGTTTTGTCTTCCTGTTTTATGATCCTGCTCAGCATGATACCTCGTCATCCTGCAATGGTCCTTTAGTTATGCTTCACAAAATAGGCTATGTACTATCTTTTATTGTCCTTTTTCTTCACTGTGGTTATGGAAACATTCTAATCTCACGCTTCCAACGTGCAAAGATGTGAAGCACAAACATTTAAAAACACAAGATATCAGTTTTTTTTACCACAGTGCTCCTGAATGCTTGGTTCTGGTTGAATGTTTCAAATGTTGATTAATTTTTTGTGACTGAATGACCACATTAAGGCTTTGCCACACTAATATCTTTTTCTCTCCGTTTTGGCCTTCCGTCCATAGTGAGACGGAGGTTTTGTCCTGTGAAAACTGAGCTTTTTGAAAACGCTTTCCCAAGTGGATAAATTTGAAAACGCATGTTTAGTCATGTGACGCATATTGAACTGATAGATAAGATACAGTATGTATGTTTATACTGCTATTCTGCCTGTTATGTGCTATTCACTTTCACTGTTGCTAAAGATATGTTACTTTGTACACTCTGCATATCACAGTCCTGCAAAGATGACAGAAAATGTACTCGTAATTGCTGTCCTGTGGCAAAACATGAGAGTAGTTGTGTTTTAGACCAAACATGTAATGGTGAGTGAGTGCGACCTGGACTCATCAGTGAATGGTGAGATATTTTGCTAAAAAAAAAGATTCTGCCAGAAGAATAGCATGAGAACTTTATTATATATGTTCCGACGGCATCATCTGAGTCAGCTTTTATGAGGTTTTACGCATGCGCAGTAAGGTGATTTGAACTTTTTCTGACGTTTCAGTGTGGATGGATTTATAAAGTTTTATAAAGTTCTATATCACTTGACCACATTCTTCACGATAGGTTCAAATGTTTATAAATAAAACTTGAAAACCCATAAACTTTAGTATGCAAAATAATGAGAAAGTCAGACATTTTCAAAACTTTGGTCCTCACAAGTATAACCAAAACTGCAAACACACAGATCTGGTTTGTGGTGGGAATTAGAGTTTGATTGTCTTTACACTGAGCTGAAGATATTTTCACATATCACATCATAATCCTACTCCTTAACCTAACCCCCACTACACAGACCTTTCTGAATCTTTACATTTTTAAGCTAAATTAAGCAAATTTCCTTATGGGGATTGTTGATTTCTTCCAGTAATGTAGGTGATTTCAGGTTAACTCTAATTACTGGGTGAATTAGTGATGTAACAGTAAGTAGAAAAGAGGCAAAAACCTGAAAATCACTATACAATGACAATTACACGTGTAGGAAATGTGGTATAGGAAATGTGGTATAGGGTATGAGTGGAATTACTGGCATTTTGAATTTTTCAATGATTCATTGATCCTTAAATATTACACTGAAGCATATTCGTTGTTGATATCAACTGTACCTAGACAGATTAATGGATAGTACAGTAGTGCAGGTAAATCTCTTTAACTAGAGTGTTAGTGTTCCTAGGTCAAAAGTTAAACTCTATCAACAGTATTTTTGACATGCTGTACCAGATTAAATTATTTTGGTTATAAATGCACTGAAAATGTTAGTTATAGAGAGTACACATCCTTGTGACAACGAAGTACACAAAGAAGTTGAGTGGGGGACGGAGGGGGGTGACTGGGACGCCAGAGTCACTGTCGAGCCCTCTTGAGGTGTCGTGGGCTAGTCGACGAAACACTGAGGACGGAAGGTGCCCACTTGAAGACCCTAGAGATGTCCCCTACTCGGCTCAATCCAGACGGTTGTCGTGCTGGTCCTGTAGTTGCAGCCGTCGCGTGCGCTGACGCGCCAAGTACACTGCTGCCGTTAACGCCGGACAGAAGGGGAGTCACACCACCATATGGAAAGAAGCGTAAATGGATGGAGAAGCATAGTTTACTGTAAAGCTACGTCTTAGTTTTGCTTATCTTGGCGAAAGCCGAGTACAAATCAGTACAAATTTAACATCTGTAAAGACGTAGCTTTACAGTAGATGTTAAAAGCATGAAGTTTTAACATCTACTCTCGTGTAATGGAAATCAATCACTTTAGCATACTTTTAAAAACAGTAGGCTACTTATTAAAATACTGTACTTTAACAAAATAAAGAATGTAATGTTTTGGGACACATAATTACATGTTAATTGCAATTGAATGTATTATAGTTAAAATTGATATTAAATGCAGTCAGCTGAACCTTTTAGCTGAGTGCTTTTTTGACCCACTTAAGTAGTACTTAAGTACATCTTTCTACGTAACTTCATTTCTTCTATTGCTTTTCAAATATGGTTACAGTGTGCTGAATATGCTGACACGCATTTATGGTAAACTAAAATATAATGTAATGTAATTTCTACTGAAATTTGTGTCATGCATTTAAATAAAGCCTATTTGTAATTACTACTGTGGCCGAGAGAGCTCAACGCACAGCCGGGTTCGTCACTTATTGGGGTCCTCTGGAAACATTTCCGTTGTGGTCTGTGCTATTTGCAGCGCGTTTCTGTATTTGGTTGTGTTTTGAACTTTTGCAGTGCTTTTCTGTATTTGGTTGTGTTGTGAGTATTTGGAGCACACATGTGTTGTGAAACTGATGAAGATGTTTTCTTAATTTGCGGGTGTTTTTCTATTTGCATGTGTTTTCTTCAGTTGAGCTCTCTCGGCCACCATAAATTACACATTTGATGCATACACACATAATGATGATTGCAATTTTTGCAAACTTTAAATGCAACATTGAGTAACACACTGCAGTTATGTCATCACAATAACTGCATTTCTTTAAAGCATGACAAAAGATTATTGAAACAATTATATGTGCACTTTTTTAAAAAAGTGTGTTAAGAAACATTGTCATGAAACACCTAACTGGCCTTTTATTTCATTCATATTATCTGTAATAATTAAAAAAAAAATGTATTAAAATATAAAGAACACTACAAAAATACATTCAATACAACCAAGCACACTTCTCTAAGGGCAGATAATCTCTGCAACAAAGCATTTTGCAAGCAAGCTAATTTTATTTATCTGGCACTTCTCTAAACAAATCATTGCAGTTCAAAGTGCTTTACAGGCAAGAAAGAAACGATGGACACAATATTGGTGTCACAAGGCCTAAGCGTGCTGTAGATAGAAGACAACGAAGAATTCACAAAATGACTTTATTAAAGGAAAGATAACCAAATCCAATCATGCGTTAACATGAAGCAACAAAGGAGCACTGAATCAAGGGAACTTATACACTGACAAACAAGGAGAACTAATTAGACCACAGCTGAACTAGATGTATAATCGGTAACACTTTAGAATACGGTTCCTTCGTTAATGAATAACTACACAGGAACAAATGAGTAACACAATATTAACAATCTAGTAACTACTATTAACTAACAAGAAATTCTGATTAACGAATTAGTAAGTAACAGTGCACAGATGAAAGTGGTAGTTCACTATTAACTAATTGATAACTACTTTTTTTTTAATGCTTCCCAGAGAACTACTGAAGAAGATTAATACAGTAGTTCATGCAAAACTAATCAATAACTAATGCAGGACAAATGACTAGCACTACATTAACATTAATAACTGCTGTAAACAAATACACAAGGTTTATCAATATGTAATAGCATAGCAGACTTATGATTTGAGAAATAATTAGCCTATGCTCAGAGAACTATTTATCAACTGAATAATTTTAAAGAAATGGCTTTTTAAATGCAGTTGTCGGGACCTTACTTGTCCTGTAGTGATTCAATGCCAGTCCAGAGGAATGCCACAAAATTGGCCAGAGTCACGGTGACGGCTGGAACATATTGAGTTATCGGCCATCCAAATACCATATACATACAGAGATTTTATTATTTAACCTACCTCGCAAAAAAAAAAAAAAGATTTTATTAATGTCTCCTACCTCAAACGTGTGTAAATATCTTGTGAAGGATTAGAAGATTCTACACTTTAGGATTGGCTTTTCATGTAAGAATCATGATAACTAACTAGTAATGACTCAAGTGTTACTACATACTTCTAAAGGAATGACTAATTATTTGGATCCGTATTCTAAAGTGAAGATCACGAAACTAGTAATTACTCAAGTGTTACTACATACTTCTAAAGGAATGACTAATTATTTGGATCCGTATTCTAAAGTGAAGATCATGGTAACTAACTAGTAATTACTCAAGTGTTACTACATACTTCTATGGGAATTACTATCTAAAACTTCACCAAAAACCTCAAAAGCTTAAAAGAATTAGTAATTCCTTTAGAAGTATGTAGTAACACTTGAGTAATTACTAGTTAGTTACCGTGATCTTCACTTTAGAATACGGATCCAAATAATTAGTCATTCCTTTAGAAGTATGTAGTAACACTTGAGTAATTACTAGTTAGTTACCATGATTCTTACAGTACTTCTCTGGGAAGCATAAAAAAAAAGTAGTTATTGATTAGTTAATAGTGAACTACCACTTTCATCTGTGCGCTGTTACTTACTAATTTGTTAATCACAATTTCTTGTTAGTTAATAGTAGTTACTAGATTGTTAATATTGTGTTACTCATTTGTTCCTGTGTAGTTATTCATTAACGAAGGAACCGTATTCTAAAGTGTTACCGTATAATCAAATGAGTAACTATGGTGACATATTAATGAACTAACTCAGGTGGGGAGGCTGTAAAAATAGAAAGAATAGACAAAACAAACTCAAAACACAATGAAACAGTGACAATTACTATAAAAAGAAAATACATTTTTTAATTCAGAAATTGGCAGCTTTTTTTCAGCTTTATTTTTTGTTAAAGTGAAATTCATTCTCTTACTTAAATTATCCAAAAATCTGTATTGTTTGTGCTGTAAAGTTGTTTAAATTTTCCCTTTACCAGCAGAATGAATTTATTTATGCATCATTCATAAAATGGCCCATAGACTTCCATTGTACAGTAA